GCAGAAAATTTGATAAGTAAGACATTTGTGGGACACAGAAATGGCTTATTACCTGTTGATAACATGTATTTTTAACTGGACTGGTCTGAGGTATATTTCATATTGGATAAATTCTACAAGTTAAATGATGTATAGTAATCGAATGTATATAAAATAATATTAATAAGAATAAATTTAAAAGAAAAAAGAAATAATTAGACACTTCCACAAACATACAAAGGTAGATCTAAAAAGAAATAGGACACAATATTCCTTATGGTGAGAAAATACCCATCAATAAAGAAGTAAATAGTTAAATGATGGACTCTTTCAAAGGACTAAATAGTCACCTTCTAAAGAGAAGTGAACTTTGATACAACACATAACTGTGTGTGTGTATAAATTTGTATGTGGTTGCATAAAAGTATATTAAAGATACATGTAATTGAAATAAAACAAGCTATCATGTTGTACAAGGTACATCAAAATCATCAAAATGCTCTCTGAGAAGGCGAGCGGGACCTAGGATCGAATGAAAGAGATGTACACTTGGGCTCTCACTGATGTGCTACCTGAATGTTATGATGAAATGAATCTGCATGTTGATTGTGGACTATCAAAATATGATGAAAATTCTTTACAGATGCCTGACTTCAAGACAAATGAGTAAATTAATAATCACTTAATTCTTGTCCATCCCCCCCAAGAAACTAACACAAATACACAAAAAAAATGCTCTGTTCTAGCAACAAAGAATACTTCAAGTTTTTCTCACAGAAGATCAATTTGATTTTGCTAATTGGAACAAAACTATGCATTTCCCTGGTTGGACTTGCCCCCGGACCCTGAAGAAAGAAGTCTTTCCAACAAATGGAATTATTTTGATTTTCCTCACTCTTTTAATTAAAACCAACACATTGAAACAAACATTTTATTGACATAAGGAGGAGTCATGCCAAGTTCATAAGCCTCTTCATTTTATTGCTACATCAAAATTCTCATTAGCCCTCTCAGCCACATTATTCTTCTCAGCCACATCAACAAAAAATGCTTATGGCTTGTCTTTTCGACCTTCATCATGTTTCTCTTCTTTTCCTTTTCCATTTTCCTTTTTCCTTTGTCTTCATTGTTCTCTTTTCTGATTACTCTGTGACTCCTATTGATCTTTGGTTCTGAATATGCTGCCTTCCCCCCCACACACACACGCACTTGCCACTAGGGAGATATTGCACAGGTGCAGCCCCGTCTGTCCCAGTGTGCGTTCTCACGGTGCAGTAGTACACGGCAGTGTCTCCCAGGGTAACGTGAGGCAGGATCAAGGTACTGGACTTCCTGTCTGCTGCGATGGTCAGAGATGCCACTTTGTTGCTCACAGAGTTTTGTAAACTGTGAATTAGATACTGTGGACTCTGTCTGGGACCTTGCCGATACCAGTGTATATACTCATTTGTACTGATGGAAGAGTGGTTGCAAGGCAGGTTTACAGTTTCTCCTTCAGCACAGACCATGGCGTCGGGCTGGGTGGACTTGGCATCAGAGAGAGCTGCTAAGGGATCAAGAAAGTCAGATTAGCTCCTGACTCCCAGGATCAAAAAAGTCATATTAGTTCCTGACTCCCAAATCAATAGAAAGTCAGATTAGCTCCTGACTCCCAAATCAATGTAGTTCCATAGATCATAGACAGGGCATTCCTATTATTATCTCTGTGCCTACCCAGACTCCAGTGTTACTATTTATGTGCGGCAAAATGCAAAGATATCATTGGTTTTAATTACAGAGATCTAAGATATGTGAAGATAATACATAGACTGTATTCAATGGGTCCTGAGCTCAATCCATTCTGAGATTTTTTACAATTTAAATACTGCTAAGGGCTCTTCAGAGATGATGGCTTAATCTAACCCATAGTGTGGAATTTTGTATTTCTTAGGCAAATGCACAGACCAGTTGTCAAATTATATCCCTTCTCCTCCATTCTCCTCTCGGTTTCTTGGGCACGCAGACACACACACCCGGCATGAGTTTAAGCCACCGGGTCTGGGACATGAATCACAGTCAACTACATGGGAGTCCAAAGACATAGCCATTATACTAACTGCTGGTCCCCCATCCAGAGATTTATTACAACTTAAATACTGCTAAGGGCTCTTCAGAGATGATGGCTGTGATCTAACCTGTCGTGTGGAATGTTTTTTTTTTGGAGAGGGAGGGTGAGGATATCATCTAGACATCTCCAATTCAGAGGATGCCCACTGAAGTCATTTACAAAGTTTAAAGTCTATTTTCTAACCTCTCTCAATTTAAGAGAATTAATTTTTCACTCAAAATAAATAAATTAATGTTCTCTCGGGTGGCTCTGGCCGAAGTAAGAAAATCAGTCTGAAGGAGGTGTCATGCAGAATCTTCCTTCCATCATTTCTCCTTCAAGGTACGAAATAAGTTTCTGATGCTCCTAGGAATTTGTAGGAAGTATTTAATCCCCAAAACTCGTGGTCTGTTCTGTGTTGTTAGTAGATGAAAATCCCCATCTATGATACCTTCCAGAAAATGGAAGTGAATTCTCAAAATAGGAAGTGAGATGCTCAGGGGAAAAGGGAAAACAAACATCATTGAGTCTGAAGGCTAAGTCCTATGGAACTCGGGTTTCCTACGGAGGTCCCGGAGTCATGAACAGCCACCTGGGTAGACGTTTCTCAATTTCTCTGTTCTTAATAGAGTGGCCAACAATATGAATCACACTCACTCTCTTCCTCCTTAAAAAGATGGCCTTCATATGCTCATTCTTACACTTGCTCTGGCTGCTTTGCACCAAGGTCGCTAAAACAGATAGGAAAGAGAACAGGGAAAGCAAAT